TTTTCATATTTTTGCCTTTGCTATTAGGAGCAAAACATTGTCGCTTTGCTTTAATTTTACCGTTCAATTCTCATCTCACACACGCAACATTTTTCCTTCCGAGCCTCCCAAGGATTCTTTTACATTCCGGCAGAATAAAGTCTAGAATTTTTATTATCAAGTACTAATATAATCCTTAAACATATCATATTGGCACCAGATTGGAACACATGGCGTAAACTTCCTAAGCAAAGAGGAAAAGGTGGATTTGTACATCCCGAAGAATGAAATGACATTAAGAAATTAGTGCAAAAGTATATGCGCATTTCATGCTAAGAAGTTCACCCATTCTTTAAGAAGAATAAGGAAAATTTCCTATTATATACCTCCCAATTTAAAGATCTAGTAAATATGATTTAATTAATAAACAAATAGATGTAGAACCGAACGAATTGAATAATGTACGAAGAATATAAAGGTGCAGCACGTACAACACTCTTAGAAACACGAGAAGGGGGTAAGAAAAGATTTTGAGGTGGGTCCATCAAGGTATGATCTCTTATCAAATCACCATTTTCCAAATTTTCCATATGTTAGTTCAACTTGAACATCAACTGTCCGACAAGTTCTGAACAAAATTAGTCCACATTACGGGGTAAAGAAGAAGTATGAAATTCTTTGCAATTCAAAAAAATGAAAATGAAATGTCCATAAGAGTAACATAAGATGAACTTCTTATTATAATGATGTACAAAATAGAAACATAATTTCACCTTCATGCTATAGTCACATCCACAAGTAAAATAGAGGATAAACTTCTTTCCAGTTTTCGTGTCCTATGGGGGCTGAAAAAAGTCCCATGGGGGCTGAAAAAAAACAAAACAAAAATTTCAAAATTAGCTTTAGGCCACATACTCCATTGAACTGTGAAAAAGAGATTGTGTAGTGTATAATAGTTTAGACGTAAAACCTGCAACATAAAGGGCTTGCGGGAGAATATGCTACACTCTGTGAAGAGCCGAGGCCATGCAATATGCATACTTACTTTTGTTTGGCAAAGAAAAAACAAGAAGGTTAAATCAGCTTTTTACCTATAGATGAGAGTTTAACTCATAAGGACTCGGCCTTTTGCAGTCCACAGCCTGCCATAAATCATCCTGTACACCGATTAGCTTTTGTGAAATGTATGCGAAATGAAGGGACATTTTAGAATACCTACTCAATGACTTCTTTAGGGACTGCCCATTTTCATTCTTAGAGTTCTGGGTTTGCTTCGGCTTTTGGTAAATTGATACCTACAAGGACATACCATAGTAAAAATAGACAAGAAATAAAATTATGTGGCCAACACAATGTTTTTGGGACGGGTGTATACATGTATGTAATTTGCATAGGTGCCTTAGTGTCAAGTTGGAGTTCTTTGATAAAAACTTACTGGTAATCAAGATTAATATAGTAATTGAACAGACAAAGGAATCATGAGATGCCGTTGGAGGGGACTATGCTAGTGGACTTGGTGGCCGAAGTCTTGTCAAAAATCTTAAGGTATCATCCATGCAGATTCTCCCTCACATTGAAGAATGCTCGAATTATCCTTTCAAAAGACCCCTTGATAGGAGTTTTCAATTTTTTACAACAAAATTATAGTTAATAAATGGAATACAAATGCTAGTAATGGTTTGTTACATGAAGGTTTTAGAGGAAATAAGTACAGAGTTGAGAAATAGAAATACCAATCTAATGATTTGATGGGATCTATAGCTTGTTTCATTAAGGGATGTCTCTCCAATTTGTCTTTAAGCTGCTAAAATTGATAGGAATATTTCAAACTCTCAGATTCCGAAACTATGATGGCATGTTGTAGGGGAGTATTAGATAGTGCTGTAGAATAAAAAAGAATTTTTAATTTATTCATTAAATTATGCAATTGTCCTACCCAATGCTCGGTATGAAACATACAGTACAAAATTCTAGTTGCATGTCATACCTTCACGAATGGAAAAGAGCTCAATCACATGATCCCAAAGCCTCAGAATTTTCTTGGTAAGTTTTTCAACTGTGATTCTTCCTCAATTTTTATGAAGATTTTGGGAGTTTTGAATGCAATGGCATTTCCATGCCAAATTTTAGTAACTTCACGAACTCTTGAAGTTCCTTCTCGACTGCCTCTTTAGCATGCTTCCTCCGTAGAAGTTCTTAAACCTAACAATTGATATTCATTGAATTATAGATAATAGATAAGCCAACAAGCAAATAAGCATCAGCATCATGGTGCTGAGAATCATTAAAAAACAATTAATAGTCCGCAAGTTAAACAGGAACACCAACTGTAAATAAGCATAACATGTAATACCAAACAACTAAATGAAATTAAAAATCTGCATTATTAGTGATCAAGCATATCCATATAAGACTTTGCAACAAACCTGAACAACAGATTGAGGCCCATAAACAGGAAATGAACCTTTACTTTTCAAAATAGTGAAATATGTCATCTTTTGAAAGCAGTAGATGAGATGAGCAAAATAACTCTCAAGAGACTCGGCACTTCCAAAAATCATATGTTAGAATGAACTAATTAGATTAGAGGAATACAGAAATGTTAATTAATTATGCAAAAAGTTTACCTCGTCTAGCTCTTTCACTCGTACAGATTTGTTCTTTTCAAGAAGCTCAATCTAGGCAACTCGAGCAATGTTGGATATTGAACAAATAATACAGAAGAATCAGGGAAGCATCTGGAATTTTTGAAGGAAAAATATACAATGGTATCTCACAAATCAATACAAAAGAATAACAAAATTGGTGAAGAATGGATATTATTTGAAGCAATCATACTTCAAACACGCAAAAGGAACACCTTTACCGAAAGATTACACAGTTGCCCTACGCCATGAGGACGTAGAACTTAGTGTCAAGCATATCCAAAATGTTATCATGTTCATCTTATTTTTTCATATGAAAGATAAATCTTGGTTGAGATCCTGAAAAAATAAAATAGGGCACCTGCCGTCCTCTTGTACTTTATACAGAAAAAGATTAAGACACGATGCAAATGCCAATGGCACGACATGCAAAGATATGCGCCGTTCTCTTCTCAAACGGAAATGATTCTTTTCGACGTTAAAGGAGAACAACATGCATAGCCACAAACATGTTCGAACATAAAATAAATTAACATTAGAAAGAACAAGAAGAAAAGTTGACAACAAATCGTGTATTATTCTTTACATACACTTGTTAATTTATGAAACATACAATTAAAAGATTCATAAAACCTTTATACAACTTGAGAAATATTGAAACACATGAGAAAGTAGAAATATGTTCTATTCCTTAGTTGGGGTTTCTTGCGATTAGGTTTGTTGGCTTGCATTTAATATTTGTTGGAAGTTTCCCAAAGAACCCCCTGTGATCTCACCAGTGCCGCACTTGTGCTTCGCAGGGCCTGAGGCGAACTTCGAAATTTGGGCCCTAGGCCCTAAGTCGTAGCGAACAATGCCTTTTTAAAAAAAATAAAATAAAAAATTAGAAGTTTACGGAATTAAATTTGTTAACTTAAATCAACAATAAAACAAAAAATAAATTTTTTGGTGTTCCTTTGAAATGAAATAAAAACCTTTCACACTCTTCTTCTGCCGTAGAGCTTTGCCATCAAAATAGTCCATTATTTTTTCTCCAAATTACATTCAAATATTTGATTAAAAGTTAGGAAAATAAAAAATGCCTTCAGAAAATTCAAATTTTCAAAACCGGTGAAAAAAGAAGAATTTATAGATGAAGTTGAAGAATAGAGCATAGCATCAGATTTTGAAAACTGCAAGAAGAAATTAGCCAATAACATTATAACAACAATTACACCCCAAAATCCCAAAATAAAGGGAAGAGAAAGGGGAAAAAAAACTTAAATACTATATTATATGCAAGAAAGTGAAAGAAAGAAGAAAAATAAATTTAGATTGTAGACATAACCTAAACAAAAAGGAGCAGTGAATTGAGAGACGGATTGTTGGCGGTGAATCGATGAGGACGGCCACCACATTAGTTCCGACCACCACCACTAAACATGTAGGTTTTGCCGTTGATTTCTTGGAGTCTGGAGGTCTTTTCTTTTGAACGCATGGATATAGTGGGTCTTTAAAAAAAAAAAAAAAAAAAAAAAAAAGGTGAAAAAATGGGCCCCCTAAAATTCTGGGCCTGAGGTCGAGGCCTCTTGGGCCTCCCATCAAGTCCGGCTCTGGATCTCACATCAGCTCTATTGGAAGAACATATTGATATTATGTTGGATGATACCAATGACCTTTTGAAGCGTCAAAAGAAAATTTTACCAATGAGGGGAAGTGTGAAGTATCTAGCAAAGTTACAATCAATTTAGTTGGGTGATCAAACAACTCTTGCTGAGGAAAACGGAATATGTGTTGCTAGTGTATGTCCTCTTCTCCTTTGGTTTTAACCTCTCAAATATGATTGAGAGAGAGAGCGAGACAATAAAGGATCATAAATATTCAGTGCTATGCTATAATTGCAATACCTGTCCAACGACGACAGTCAACCCAATAATACGAAGTATCAAACTGTTAAATATATGAATAGATGTCAAAATATTAGTTGTACAAATTTTTAGAGTATTAAAGTGGAACAATAATAAGTCACTTAAAAACGTTTCTGCAATGAAAGAATTCAACCAGTACCACTTTTAGTGCCTGCTCCAAAAGTAGCGAATACTCATTGGATTCACAAAGTGCTGCACCTGCAAATCACTGTAATTATACCCAAAATTTTTTTACGAATCTTCGCTGTAATTAAGAATCATGTTCTCCTTTAAGTGAATTTTGGATCCAAGAAAAATAAAATTCTAAGACAAACTAAAAGATTGAAGTAAATGTTATACACATATATATCTTGTGTAATCTACCAAAAGTAGCCACAAAAACATAAATCAAATCTGAAGAGATTAACCAAGAAAAGAGGGAAAAACCTTTTTTTTTACGAATCTTCGCTGTAATTAAGAATCATGTTCTCCTTTAAGTGAATTTTGGATCCAAGAAAAATAAAATTCTAAGACAAACTAAAAGATTGAAGTAAATGTTATACACATGTATATCTTGTGTAATCTACCAAAAGTAGCCACAAAAACATAAATCAAATCTGAAGAGATTAACCAAGAAAAGAGGGAAAAACC